CACTCGTTCTGCAAGACTTGCAAGCGTTCGCGGCTGGAGGGCGGCACGTTTTCAAAATGGCGCTCGCGCCTCAGCGCCGCCCACATTCGCTTTGAAAACGTTGCGCCAGCTTTAAGGATGGAGGGCGGCTCGTTTTCAATGTGATATTCTCGCCGACGCGCCGCGCGCACTCGCTGGGAAAATGTTGCAAGGGCTTCGCGGATGGATGGCGGCTAGTTGTCCAAATGTTGTTATCGCGTCAGCGCCGCGTGCATTTGCTGGGAAAACGTCGCAAGGGCTTCACGGGTGGAGGACTGCGTTCTAAAAACCTAGTTCTCGCCTCAACACCGCGCACATTCGTTGCAATGGCGTTGCAAGCGCTTCACGGATGGAGGGCGGCTCGTTTTCAAATGCGTGTTCGCACCAGCGCCGCGCGTAATCATTTTCAACAATGTGCAAGAGCTTCGCAGATGGAGGGCGGCTGTTTTCAAAATGCGGTTCTCGCTTCAGCGCCGCGCGTTCGTTTAAACAAATTGCAAGATGTTCGCGGAAGGAGGGCGGCTCGTTTTCAAAATGTGGCTCTCGCTTGAGCGCCTCTTAAGCCCTATGACATTTTTTCAATGCGCTCGATGAGTCCCATGTGCCCTGGAAGCCCTATGAGCTCGATGGGCTCTACTTGCCACGCGAGCCCCAAGAGCCTTCGGAGCCCATATGACCCTTATGAGTCGCATGAGCTCTACTAGCCCTTATGAGCCCGATGGAAATTCTGTATGCGTCCACAATGGAGAGGTCGCCACGTTGGCAAGGAAACTGAAGTGAGCCCTGTTATGGTGGCCAGTTGGATTTCGGGTGACCCGCCCGCGCGGGGGTCACCCGATCGCGCGCGCGCGGACGCGCGCGTGGCGGGTTCTGTAGTGCCCACCATGGAAAGTCGGCATGTTGGCTTGGGAAGCGAAGTGATTCTGTTCCCACCGGATTTCGGGTGACCCGCCCGCGCGTGGGTCGCCCGATCGCGCCCGTGCGCTATCGCGGAAGCGCGCGTGGGGGTTTCTCGAATGTCCACACTTGAAAAATCGCCATGTTGGCTTGGAAACTGAGGTGAACCCTCAACGGTGACCAACCTGATTTCGGGTGACCCGCCCGCGCGTGGGTCGCCCGATCGCGCCTGCGCGGGCACGCGCGCGGCGCCGTCGGTAGTGTGCGCAATGGGAAATACTCCATGTTGGCCCTGCAACGAAATGTTATCTACGCCCCACTGCCGCTCTCTTGCGCCCCTTTTCCCCTCCCCCCCTCTCACGCTCAGTGCTACTGTTGCCCGGTCGGGGCGGGGTGGCCCTGATTAGACAGCTCCCACTCTTACTTTGAGCTTATTCGCACTGATTGGGGTCGTGCGAGTTCATTGTCTTGCCCCTCTCTCCTCCTCGTTCCTCCTTCGTTCCTCTTCGTTTCCCCCACCCCCGCCCACCCCCCCCCCCCCCCCCCCCCCCCCCCCTTGGGATTTCGTTGCAAGTGGCCCTGGCTGGCGGGAATGGGGCCTCAGTTTGTTGGGATAGTGTTCTTCTAAGCAGTGGCGGAATATTTAAATATATCCGTACCTTGTGTGTTTCACTTTTGCATGTGCGCCGATCGCATTGCGGATACATGTAGTGGCGCTGCTGGACGCCATGCGCGTTCGAAGAAATGTTGGCCTTGCAACGAAATTGAATTCACGGCGGTGACCAACCCGATTTCGGGCGACCCGCCCGCGGGTCGCCCGATTGCGCTCGCGCGCGCGGCCGCGCGCGCGGGAACTTTTGCAGTTGCTTACAATGGACAGTTCGACATGTTGGCCTGGCACCCTTAACGATGACCAGCCGGATTTCGGGCCACGCGCCCGCGCGCGGGTAGCCCGGCCGATCGCGCGCGCGCGCGGACGCGCTCGTAGGGAATTCAATTTGCCCACGATGGAAAAGTTTACATGGTGGCCTGGAAGCTGAAGTGGGCCCTTGACGGCGACCAATCGGATTTCGGGTGACCCACCCGCGCGCGGGTCGCCCGATCGCGCGCGCGTGCGGACGCGCGCGTGGGAGTTCCATTTTCTCCATAATGGAAAGTTGCCATGGTGGTCTGGAAACTGAAGGGAGCCCTTAACGGTGATCAGCCGGATTTCCGGTGACCCGCCCGCGCGTGGTCACTCGATCGCGCTCGCGCGCGCGCGCGGAGGCGCGCGGGGGAATCTTGCAGTTGTCCGCAATGGAAAATTCGCCATGTTGGTTTGGAAACTGAGGTGGTCCCTCAACGGTGACCAACCTGATTTCGGGTGACCCTCCCGCGCGCGGGTCCCCCGATCGCGCGCGCGTGCGGACGCGCGCGTGGGAATTCTCTATTCTCCACGCTGGGAATATTGCCATGGTGGTCTGGAGACTGCAGGGAGCCCGTGACGGTGATCAGCCGGATTTCGGGAGACCCGCCCGCGCGTGGTCACCCGATCGCGTTCGCGCGCGCGCGCGAAGGCGCGCGGGGGAATCTTGCAGTTGTCCGCAATGGAAATTTCGCCATGTTGGTCTGGAAACTGAAGTGATCCTTCAACGGTGACCAACTGGATTTCGGGTGACCCGCCCGCGCGTGGGTCACCAGGTCGCCCGCGCAGACTTAGCTCGGCCAGCGCGGGCTTCAGGTGCCCTTCTAAATACTGCGGATACTCGAGTGAATGCATCGATTATTGGAATGACGACTAACATTGCGAGTCTTACTTCTACTAGTACAATTATAATGATTATTATTTATGTCGCGTACTTTTCAGCAATTCTGGTGAAGCATCTGGCTCTTATAGTTATTGCTTTTGCTGGCGATTTTTTTTGTTCTACGACGAGTCCTACCTAGAAATACCTTTTTCGCGTCGCCGAATGGCGGGCATTAGTTCTTTTCCGCGCTCCCAGGTGCGAGGGATAACGCTCCGTGCGGTGCGGGGCGGGCGCGATGCCCCGAGATGGACCGCTCCCTTGGACGGCCGACGAACATCAATCTCTCATAACGGATTGCAATAGAAACCGCATAGGGCGAGGGCGGTTCGGAAAAGGAGGAAAGGAAGTTTCGGATTCAAGCTCTTCTCGAATAGTGTTTAACGTAGTGCTACTTTATACCGATACTACTACTGACAGCATTCTGGATACGTCTGGATACGTTTTTCGAATGGTAAAAATAAGTCACCGCTATTTTTTAAATACAACTGCGCTGCAACGCTTCTCATACATATTATTTAATGTTACTATTATGATGTATAGTAATATGTGTGGTACTATTGTTATAAAAATGCGTACTGGTTAGGAAATAATTACATCGTTTCGTCGTATGGCGGACATTGATGATTTTTCCGCGGCCCTACGATGTTTCGCGGGCCGGAATGTTCATTTTCGCGGTTCCGCGGTGCTGAAGATATCGCTCCGTGCGGGGCGGGCGCGATGCCCTGGGATGCGTCCCCTAGGACGGCCGACGAAAATCAATCATTCATCACAGGTGACAATATGAATCGCATAGGGTGGGGGCGGCTCGGAGAGGGAGAAAAGAAACTTCGGATTCAAGCTGCTCTCCAAGAAGTATAACGCAGTGCTGCTTAATACTAAGATTACTATTGGCAGTACTCTGGATATCTCTTCGAATGTCAAAAATAAACCACGGGTAATATATTACGATTGGGTTACAGCGTTACTCCATCCGCGAAACCGGCTCGGCCGATCCGGTTCGGTTCAGGCTCCGTGCCGATGCAGACCGCTCCTGCGCACATTCCTACAGTTGGACCGAGGTATAAGATCCAGGTCGGCTTTGGGAGGGTACCCTCGTGTTCTTCGTGTTTGTTGGATGGGGTTGTGCACCCTGGGGATGGTACCCTTTGATTTGCTTTTTGTTTTGGCCGACTGAGGGTCTCATGTCCTTGAGGGAAGTTCTTCTGGCCCACGTTTCTGACTGTATTCGAGCCAGTGTACCGATCCGATGCTGACCGGTCCTGCCAGGCTGTGGCAGGGGTGACGAAGGCGGTGCTGGAGGCCCTTGGCACCAGAGCCCCCAGCAGCGAGAGCTGGGCACAGACATCTACGCGGACCACCAGGGGCACCGCGGTTGGCAGAGAGCTCAAAGACTTCCAAGGCACTCGAGGCCTCCCCAAGGGGGCTGGAGTTGATAGGGTCGGAGGGCCGCGCCGCATCGCCGGTGCATCGGCGATGCGGCGCAGTCCGAAGCTGGAGTTTCTCCATCACGACGTCGACGATGCGTCGCCGATGATGGCCAACGCATTGCCGATGCGGCGCGATCCTCCGACCCCACCTGCTCCGACTCCATTTGGGAGGCCTCTAGAGGCATGGGGGGGCTGAGGCAGGACAGCGGCACCAGCGTCGGCTCGCTCTTCTCAGGAATGGTTTCCAAGATGCCTTCGGTGCCCGAGGAGGCGGTGCCGCTGCCAGGAGAGGGCATGGGTGGTGCCTCAGCAGCTCCGCCCGACAATCCCATGAGTGCGCAGGAGCAGCTGGTCTACCCAGAGTACAAGGCCACGCCAGTGAGCACGCAGACCCTCTCGCTGGCGTACTTGATGCTGCAGTGGAACGTGCCGAGGCCGGCAGCTTCCTGCTGCTGGGTGCACGGCGCTTTGCAGTCCTTGGACAAGGTGCAGGATGAGCTCAGCCGCAGGCCGTGCAACCAGAGTCAGCAAAACACGGCCTGTGGCCAGTGTGGCGACTGCGCGCTGCTGCTGATGCCAGGCCAGTCCTATTGCGAGTTTTGCGACGATCAGTCTTCCCGCGGAGCCTGCACAGCCTCCCCGGCGGTCGCCACGAAGTCGGAAGAAGTGTTTCATATCTGAGTCGGCCCTTCCCTGCCCAAATTGTCTCCTCTGGCGCCCAGCCCTGTCCTTCGCCCCCTTCCCGCGCGTTTCCCTGCGGATTTGGTTGGGCGGCCACATACTTTGCAGGCAGTGGCAGCATCACCGTCATCATTCGTGAACAGTTCTCCCTTGGGTTGGCGTGGTGGAACATTATGCCCAGAAGTGTTAAATGCTCATTTGCATCGGCGTTCCGTGGGACGCCTTCGACGGTCCCGAACGCAGCAGTTTGTTGCACGAGCGTTCCCCGATCTTGCGGGGGCCGCCCTTGCGGCAGGACAGGCGATCAGCTGTGCTGCCGCTAGCGCAGCGCGTGGGGTCGTCAATGGGGGCTTGGCACCAGGGGACAGGGTTTGATAGTAGCGGGGTTGGGTGGGGGCCAAGTTCAGGAGGGGAAAAAACACACAGACACAATTATTCGTCGATTTTTAGGAAAATATAGGAAAATATGGGAAGTGGGGGGGAAGACGAAAATCCAAAAAATATGGGAAAATATGGTGAGTATTTTTATTTGTCTGTATTTATTTGTGTGTCCTGGGGCTCCTTCACAAGTTCCCAGCAGGAGCTCCACAGGCTGCCTCGCTCGCTCCCGCCGCCCTTCGCCACACAAGTGACACCCGAGACGCAGCCTGGGCAGAGGTCGCCATCGGATGCACAGCCGCCGAGAGCCCACGCAGGCGCCAGGACTGCGACGATCGTGGGGTGCGCCACTCGTGCCAGGCGCGCCCGGCGCACCAGGTGCGCCATGTGACCCAGGGGCTCACGCGTGCCAGACAGACATACATAGGCACACAGACACTTATGTATACATATATATATGCATACACACATTCATGCATGCATACATACATACACGCATCCACACGTACCGACTGATATGCATAAGCACATACACACATGCATAAATACATACATGCATACGCACATACATACATACAGACATACAGACATACATACATACATACATACACACATACATACATGCATACATGCATACATACATGCATACATACATACATACATACATGCATACATACATACATACATACAAGCATAGAACAACAAACATGCATACGCATACCTGTACATAAATATAGACGTGCCTGCATGCATCCATGCATGCATACATACAAGCATCCGTACATACACGCACATCCATACATGCATGCATAGAGACAGATCGACAGACAGACAGACCGGCAGACAGGCATACATTCATACATACATACATACACAAACATACATACATGCATACATACACACATACATACATACATACATGCAAACATATATCTATACATATATATATATATGCATGCATACATACATGTATACACAGACAGACATACAGACAGACAGACTGACTGACAGACGTACATACGAAAAGACAGACGGACAGACAGACATGCATACACACAGACTGACAGGCAGGCAGACAGACATGCATACACACATACACACATACATATACATATACATATACATATATATGCATATACATATACATCGATACATTGATCCATCGATACATCGATACATACATAATGCATATCTACCTGTGTATATTCCTCTTCTGATATTTTTACAAGCCCAGGGGGGAGGGGGGGGGGGGGGGGGGGGAAGGGGGGGGGGGGGGGGGAAAAACCATCCCCCCCCCAAAAAAAAACTGGACCCCCGGGATCTGGGGTTCTCGGGCTCCCTTGGACGTCCTTGGAAAAGGTCACCCGGCTTTCCGGGTCTCCACAAACGCCTTGCCAGCAGACCGAGAGCGATCCGAGGGGTCATCAGAAAGGCTCAAGGGAGGCCCCAGACAGCAGAAGAGCGCTCCAAGAGGGACTCCAATTGCGACAGGACGGCCCCAAAGACTCCCAAGGCACCCCAAAAAGCTTCCCAAAGAGCCTTCAAACCACAAACTTCGTCCCATTCCCTTCGTAAAATTTACAATTTTAGCATATTCGCCTTCCGGATTTCATCAGCTTTCAAGACGGTTTCAAAGCCCCCGAGAACGCCTCCAGACGCCCCAAAAGGCCTCCAAGAAAGCTTCAAGACGGCCGAGCCGGGCCCCACGATCGCCCACGAGAGCCCCAAGACAGCCCATAATAGAACCAAGAGGCCCCCCAAGGGCTCCCAGCACAGACCCAAAAGGGCCATGGGAGGTCCCCGGAAGTGCCCAAGATGGGTCCAAAGGAGGCTCCAGCGGGCCCAAGCTCCCCAAGACGGCCCAAGAAGGCCCCAGGACGGCCCAGGAAGGCGCCAAAACGGCCCACGAGGGCTCCGAAAACACCCCCACGATGTTTCCGAATGCCAACAAAAAGACCCCCAAGGCACCCCAAAAAGCTTTCCAAGGGGCTTCAAAACACAAAAATCATCCCATACCCTACGTAAAACTTACAATTTTAGCAGATTCGCCTTTCGGATGTCATCAGCTTTCAAGACGGTTTCAAAGCCCCCGAGATCGCTTCAAGACGCCCCAGAAGGCCCCCTAGAAAGCTTCAAGACGGCCGAGCCGGGCCCCACGATCGCCCACGAGAGCCCCAAGACAGCCCATAATGGAACCAAGAGGCCCCCCAAGGACTCCCAGCACAGACCCAAAAGGGCCATGGAGGTCCCCGGAAGTGCCCAAGATGGGTCCAAAGGGGGCTCCAGCGGGCCCAAGCTCCCCAAGACGGCCCAAGAAGGCCCCAGGACGGCCAATGAAGACGCCAAAACGGCCCACGAGGGCCCCGAAAACACCCCCACGATGTTTCCGAATGCCAACATAAAGACCCCGAAGGCACCCCAAAGAGCTTTCCAAGCGGCCTTCAACCCACAAAAATCGTCCCATTCCCTTTGTGCAACTTACAATTTTAGTATATTCGCCTTCCGGATTTCATCAGCTTTCAAGACGGTTTCAAAGCCCCCGAGAACGCCTCAAGACGCCCCAAAAGGCCTCCAAGAAAGCTTCAAGACGACCGAGCTGGGCCCCACGATCGCCCACGAGAGCCCCAAGACAGCCCATAATAGAACCAAGAGGCCCCTCAAGGGCTCCCAGCACAGATCCAAAAGGGCCATGAGAGGTCTTCGGAAGTGCCCAAGATGGGTCCAAAGGGGGCTCCAGCGGGCCCAAGCTCCCCAAGACGGCCCAAGAAGGCCCCAGGACGGCCGATGAAGGCGCCAAAACGGCCCACGAGGGCCCAGAAAACACCCCCACGATGTTTCCGAATGCCAACATTCATTGATTTTGCTCCCATGACATTTCACATTGTGACCCAGTCGTTGAGGGTCTCGTGGCATGCAGCGAAGATGCCCGAGGATGCCCCGTACGAGTTGCATATGCATGTTCATACCCTTACACACATAACTTTATATGTACATCTGTACGCTGTATACACACATGCAACAATGTAAGTATATTGTTCACACCTAGACATTTATACGGGGGTGGGGGTGTGTTGGGGGGGGGGGAGGGTGAGGGGGGGGTAGTGTTGGGGATGGCGGGGAACGGGGGTGAGGCTTTGGGCGGGGGGGCAATACGGGGGGTTTGGGGGGAGGGGGGGGGTACGGGGGATGACGGGGATGGGGGGGAATATGGGGGGGTTTATGAATGTGCATGCACGTGCGCATGTATACATGCATGCGCGCATGTACGCACGCACGCATTCCGCTTGCGTGCAGAACTCAAAGGAACAAGGTGCATGGCGCGCAACGCCAATGCAGTCTTGTATATATATATATATATATAAATGTATATATATATACATTTATATATATATATATAGAGATATATCAGAATAGGCTTCGGCCTCGGGCGGGCCCGGGACGGAGACCCCGGGTACACAAGGGTGCCGCAGGGGCTCCAGGAGCGCCCTCGTGGTTCCCAAAGTGGCCTCGTGGTCGCACAGAAGGGCCCTCAAATTGGTACGACAGTCAATCAGACTGGGTCTAGCACGCCCCGAGAGCACCGATGCTGTTTTCTGAACGGCCTCCGCAGGCTTCCAGGCTCCGCCACGACGGCCCCGGGCCAGCTTCAGTGGGCGCTCGAGGCCCCAGACGAGCACCCCGAGAGGCAAAAGTAATTAATTTCGCTAGGGTTTTCAATATTTCCGTTGCCCTCTCTTTGTTTTCGTTTGAAACTTTTCGACGCGATTGTTACGCCCACGGCTGTTTATGGTCTTTCGACAACAGCCATGACAGCACAGCAGCGGGCGCGAGTTGTATCGACGCGCTCAAAAATGCTCCGCCGGATAGTTGGTCTCAGCAAGCTTTCCCACGAAAGTTGGGAGGAAGCGGGGCGACGCACCAAGCGTGACCGTTGCTTTGAAGATTTTTCCTGTGTCGAACTGGCTTGTCGTGTTGGATCGCTCAATGTGGCGCCTCGTGGCGCGACTCGCCACCGGCGGCTCGCGAGAATGGCCGGCGCAAGTTCTACGGTGGCGTCCGGACGGCATCAGACGCCGAGGGCGGCCATGTCGAAGATGGACAGATGCCGTCGATTCATTTCTGCGACAAGAGCACGTCACGAATTTAATGAATGTGATTCGCAGCCAGGAGCCTTTCCCTTGGGTCAAACGGATTGGAAAAGCAATGTCTGGTTTCTCCTTTTCTTTCTTTCTTTTTCTCTTATTTCTTCTTTCTCTTCGTTTCTTCTCTCTCCTGTCTTTTCTTTCTTTCTTTTCTTTCATTTCTTCTCTTTATTTTCTATATTTTCTTCTCTTTTTGTCTTCTTTTTCCTTAAGAATTTCATGAAGAGCGACTGATGTATACTACTATGTATACTTTATTGCTGCCCTGTCCACTACGTTTCTCTTGCATGCGCGTTTTGTTGCCGTAGTGTCTCACGCCCTCCGGCTCCGCTTGCGGAGCGAGGTGCCTCCATAGGCCCCTCGACCGGACTTGACTTGACTTGACACTCAACGACGGCCCGCGAGGCCTCCGGCAACGCCTCAGGACGGGCCCAGCGGCCCACAGGAAGGCACCCGGGAAGGCCTAACAGGGCTGCATGACGCTCCCAGGGGCGCCCAAGACGGCCCACGAGGCCTTCAAGACGGCCCCAATCTGGCCTCCAGCGAGGGGGCATGAACCGAAATTCCGAGTCTTTCGCCACATGAAGCATTTAAGAAGGCGCCAGGACGGCCCCAGGCAGGCTCAAGAGGGTGCCCGAGGCCCCAGTAGAGTGTCCCGAGAAGCAAAAATCATTGACTTCGCCAGGGTTTTTCAATGAGTTCGGTGCCCTCTCTTTCTCGACACTCTGACGCTGCACGGCGGCCCACAAGTTCTCCGACACCACCTCAGGCGGGCCCGGCGGCCCCCAGGCGGGCTGCATGACGCCCCCAGGGGCGCCCAAGACGGCCCACGAGGCCTTACAGACGGGCCAAGATGGCCTCGAGAGGGGGGGCACAAACCGAAATTTCGATTTCTCCGCCTCATGAAGCTTCCCAGAGGCCTCAAGAAGGCGCCAGGACGGCGTTGGGCAGGCTCCAGGGGGCGCCCGAGGCCTCCGTAAGGCCAAAATCTGTGATTTCCCTAAGGTATTTCAATGTTTTTGGGCTCTCCATTCGTCAAGGTTCGACAATCCGCGACGGCCCAAGACGCTTCCAACACCGTTTCAGGACGGGCCCAGAGGCGCACAGGAGGGCCCCGGAACGGCCTAGCAGAGCTCCTTGACGGCAGGGGCGCCCGAGACGGCCTCAGAGGCCCTGAAGACGGCCCCAAGATGGCTTCCAGAGGGGAGCATCCCAAGAGGCTCCAAGAGGCTCCCAGGAGGCCCCAAGAAGGCTAACAGCTGCTGCCACGGATCTCCAAGAGGACCACAAGAGGCCCGCACGACACCCCACAAGGCTCCCAAACTGGCCACAAGAGGCCAAACAACGGCCCCCAAGAGGCCCCCGCAAGGCCTCCTTCGACATCCCTCCTTCCTTGCCCTGTCCTGCCCAGTTCCTACCGTTCTTGTTTCGTTACGTCACGCCTCTCCCATTTCACTTTGCAGCCGCACCACCATGACAGCATCTCCGAGTGGCTCTCTCTGGCTGTCCTTCGGGCTTTGCAGCCTCTTTTGATGTACCCTGGCAACCTCCACGAGGACTTCAATACGGCCCCGCACTCCATGTTCCCGGGGGGCCAGGGAGCTTTCCGGGAACATGATTGTCACCGCCAGTCCAGCAAGGAGGCCGAAGATGAGGAGGACGGCCCGCGGCAAAAATCGCTAGGGCCTTTCAATATTTTCAGTGCCATTTTGACACTCCACGACGGACCGCAAGGCCACCGACACCGCCTCAGGATGGGCCCGGCGGCCCCCAGGAAGGCCCCCGGACGGCCTAGCAGGGCCGCATGACGCCCGCAAGGGGCGCCCAAAACGGACCACGAGGCCTTAAAGAAAGACGGCCCCAAGATGGCCTCAAGGGGGGGGGCGCGAACTGTTTTGTCGTCCGACTTGTTTTCCTAGAGCGGAGCCTCTTGACCGTATATATCTTGTCGATCCGTGGTGATGCGGTGGCTCAAAAGCCGTTCGGAGGGGGACGCTCCGGCCCGGCCTCCGCGGTGGATGCTGGGCGCCTTCTGCGCCGCGGGGCCCTGGCTTGGGCAGCTGGGAGCGGCCTGGGTCTCCCGGCCCCCCTTTGCCCTGGCTGCCCGCCCTGCCCGGCGGCGGAGCTGCGGTGCGAGCGCCACTGCGGCTCGTGCCTGGCGTGCCCGCCGTGCCTGCCCGGCGTGCCCGCCGGTCAGGGCCGCGGCGCCGGAGGCTTCCTGCCAGGCCAGCCCAGCGGCGGGCTGCGAGGAGGCGCCCGCGCCGGCCTGCCCGGCGTCTGCCCGGGCCGCCTGCCGGGGCTTCACGGCCGGGCTGCTGCTCGGCCTCGTCGTCGGCGCGCTGCTTGCGGTGGTCGCAACGGTGAGCCTCGTGGGCCTTTCTCGGCTCGTGAGGCGGGTCACCTCCCTGCTGGTCAAGGGCGACGACGAGCTCCGCCCGTCGCCCGCGGGCGTGCGTGACGGCCCACCTCAGCCTCGGTTCCGCGCCATCTGGGCCTAATGGCCGTTGGCGCGCAGACCTTGGACGTCGTCGAGAGCCAGGTGTGCATCAACTTCGACGACGACGAGAACTTCAGATGACACCACAGGCTGCTGTTGGTGCCAGGCGATGCGCTGGGGGAGTGGGTCGGGGCGACGCCCGACGGGGAGATTCTCGTGGTGCAGCTCGCCTCGCACCTCGTGGTCGCGCTGGCGCGGAACGCCCCATTCCCACAGCGGGTCCGAGGCAACGTCTATGCTTTCGGCGACCTGGGGCAGGAGGCGCTCGACCACCTGCGTTTCGAGGCCCGCAACCTCGCCCGCGTTCTGGGCGTGGCCGTCACGGCTGGTCCTCCTGCAGGTCGGATGGTCCGCCGTTTGATCGCCGACCCGGCGGTCGAGGGCTTCGGGGCCGAGGTCGAGGCGGGCCTGTCGGCCAACGCGAACCGCTTTGCGTCGCGGGACGCGGTGGGCGCGGCGCTGATCGACGACGAGCTGGGCTAGGTGGCTGTCGAGAACGTGCAGCCCGAGGATCAGCCCGAGTGGTTGGCCGAGAAGCGTCGTGGTCCTGGGAGGGACCCGTGCGCGTTGCCGACCCCTCCTCCCTCGCGTGGCAAGCGAGTGCAGCAGGAGCCGTCATCTCCGCCCTCAGGCCTCAGGACGACCCGTCCTCGCCGCTCCGTGGCCCCAGTGCGCTCGCCGAGTTTTTGAAAGCGGTCGACGCCTCGGGCCTCTCGCTGGCGGCCTACTGGGGGCACTGGGTCGAGCAGTCGGGCGGCGCGCCACAGTGGGGCCCCCCTCGAGCTGAATGTGATTCTGGAGGTTCTCCACCACGCTCTGGCGCGCGATCGGCTCGATGTCGCGAACCCGGCGAGCTTCGAGTTCATGGCGCGCCGCGCCCTCCAGATCCAGCGCGCGGTCAAGAGGTGCCCTCGTCATCCGACATTCGAGGGTCTCGACCTCGTGCTGAGCAGCGAGCTGGACGAGTCAGGTGGCGCGGTGACGTTGAGGTTCGACGCCTTCATCGCCGAGGAGCAGAATAACCGCGGGATCACCTTAAAGCAGGAGCGCCCCTGGCGGGAGGAGCAGGAGCACGAGTCGAAGAAGTGCGAAAGGTCCTCGGGCGCCGGGGGCGCAGACGACGAGGAGCGACGGCCAAGGAAGACTCGCCGCAGGCCAAACCTGGAGACGGCTGAGGACGCCATGTAGGCGTCCTCTTGGCCTGGCGCTCGGCCCAGCGCTCCGCCGGGCCCCCCCCTGCCCGCGACGTCGCCCGCTGCTCCTGCGGCGCGACGCGGGCGGCCCTCCGAGGGGGTCTCCTCTGAGGGCCATCCTTCTCTGTTTCCCCTTCCTGTGGGCGGCCGCCTGATTCGCGCTGGCCGACGCGGAGGACGCGCCTCGTCGCCTCGGTATTTGGCCCAGCGCGCTGCCCGCGCGGACGAGCGCGATCGGCGGACTGTCGAGGCCATCTCGTCCATCAAGACGGCCGCCGCTGCTGCGGCCGCTGGGCGCGTCACCGCCGACTACCGCCTGGGAGTCCGCGGCCAGGCGGATCCGTCGTCGCGTCCGAGATTTGGGGCAAAGAGCCTGCACGGAGCAGGGAACGGCGGGGATCTTCTGAACGGGGTCAATCCAGACACGGGTCCAGTCAGGCCTGGCAGGATCCTGCAAGATCCTGCAGGATCCTGCTCCCAAGCCTGGGTCAAGGCCACCCTGGCCCTGCAGGATCCTGCAAGATCGGGCGCTCCGGCTGACCCCCGTGTGCATTAACCCCCGTCTCTAGAGCCCCGAGCAAGGGTCGGCGGCGCGCGAGGGGGAGGGGGGCACGAGCTTGGGCCCGGATTTCCTAATCGCGCTATTCGGCACCTAGCCCACGAGCGTTCGGCACCTAGGATCCATCCGTATGGAGCTTGCATTTTTTACTTTCATATTCGATTACAAGCTCACATGGGGCTTCTCCCATGAGGTTCACTGAAGCTTACATGGGCCTTGTTACGCGTGGCTTGCTACATTATATACATCCCTCTTACTACATGGGACTCCTTTATTGCATGAGGCTTGCGCTACATGGGGGCTG